GATCTTCCCAACCCAGGGATCAAACCCAGGTCTCCCTCATTGCAGGCAGATTCTTTACCATCTGAGCCACCAGGGAAGCCCAGTGATATACTTAGTACAATGTGAAAGTTGCTGATTTGGTTGTTAAATTTGATGTTGTTGTTTCACTCTTTCCCAATACTTTGTGTTTGATTTTTCAATAATAATGAAATACATTTCAAAATGAAAAAAAATAGCATATCCTCTGGAGTGAAATAAAATAAATGAATTAATAGTAAACAACTTACATTAGAATATCAGTTATAAAATCTGATTTACCCACACTATGTGTGGGTAAATTTTCTATACTGTAGAATATTATCATGAAATGACTGATTTTTTTTCATATAGTATCTTCTTTCTAATTCTTCTGCATATAATAATTCAAATGATATTTATACACATACATTTATATAGTAAACCAATTTTCTAATTAAAAAAAACTATAGAGATTCTTACATATTCTCTGATCTAGTATCTTTCATACTTTTTCTCTGAAATACAATGTGAAACTTTATTAATTAAAGAATTTAGCAGTTCTGAATGTTTAATTTCATAAACCTTTTCAGACATTCAAGAGAATGTCTACTGTACTTGAATGCAATTAGTAATAAGCTTTAGTAATTTTCCACAATGATTATTACACACTTTTGTTTTCAAATTACAAATGTTCTTATAAAAAAATGTTTCCTTTTACTTTTGCTCCAAATGTTCAGAATACTAGCAAAAGCTTCATCTTCAGATAATTTGATTTGTCAAGGAATAGCTTCTGCTGCTTTTGGTTTTATCATTTATATGGTACTAAAGCCCATTTAAATTCAGTGAATATTAACAGATTTACTGGAAATATGCCATTATCCTCTTTCATTTAATGGGTGACTTCAAAAGAAAAATAGACAAGAAAAATAAATAAAAGAGGTTAAATAATGAAATGTAACAGGTAGTGTAAAGATTTTAGAGTGTTTTTTTTTTTCTTTTGTAGTCTTATGTCAGTGAAAATGTTAGACTTTTGTGTTTTCTTCTTGCCCTGGGCTCTCATGTCCCTGAAGAATTACTCCCTTAAAATCAGAGAGAAAATAAAGACATACTCGCATTTAAACAAATACTGCAAACATTAAGTAAACAGAACTGTCTGTGTTCTTTTAAAATTTCCTTTCAGTGGAATCCTGTTAAAGAAGTTTTTGTTCTGCCAACATCTCTCATTCGGGTGCCTTGGAGATAGGAGGTGCGGGTGGCAGTGACTAACCAAATGAGCAACTATTATTTATTTGTCCAAACAAACTTGGACAGATTATACTTGTGATAGCCTCCTGGAAGGAATCAAAACCATTGACTACAGAGTAAGACAATCTAAGAGGGCAGTAGGGTTTTTGTTTGCTTGTTTTGTTTATTGTTTTTGGCCACTCCATGCAACCTGCAGGATCTTAGTTCCCCACACCAGGGATGGAACCCATGCCCCCTGCAATGGAAGCGTGGAGTCCTAACCACTGGACCGCCAGGGAATTCCCAGTAGTGGGGTTTTAACTGGTGGCATACTAGGTAATCTGACCCACCAAAAAATCATTAACCTTTGTTGACCATCTACATTGTGGAGTAATGAGCAAGCTTTTGAAGTTGCAAAGACTCCAAATATCCCTAGCCTTGAGTTTCTTGCAGACTAGTGTGGACTGCAGACACATCACTTTAGTAGGGCTTTCAAGTGTTATGTGTTAAAATACACTTGCTTTTCCCACAGTCTTCCCCATTTCTATATATGATTGCTCCATTCTTCCAGCTAAGTCATCTTTGATGCCTCTTTTTTCTCATATCTCTGCATTGAAGCTGCAGGCAAATTCTGATGACTCGACCACAGAACATGTACAGAATCTGACCATCTCTCACCAACTCCACTCTCTGGCCAAACCCACTATCATCTCTTATTTGGATTATTAAATAAAATCCAATCTGTTCTCCCCGCTTCCATTTTTGGGCCTTGTAAGTGTATTTTCAATATGGCAACAAGACTGCTCCAATTAAAATATGTCTGATGGTTTAACTTGTACAAAACCTGCCAGTGGCTTCCCATTTCACTCAATACACTTCCCATTTCACTCCCTGCATGCCTCCCAGACTTCAAGTCTCCCCACTCACTCCACTCTCCCCGTACTGGCTTCCTTGCCCTTCCTTGAGCTTAACATGCTCACTTGCACCACAGGTCCTCTCTCCCTTCCTATTTTGTTTCCTCTTGCTTGTAGTACTCTTTCCCCTTATCTTCTCATCTCCTTTGGTTCTTCACTCAGAAGTCATTTTCTCCATGAGGCCACCTTAGCACAGCCTATCTCAAATTATAATCATCCTAATTCCCCAACACTCCTTATTCTACTTCCTGACTTATTTTTTCTCTAGAGCACTTCCCACCATCTGACATCATAATTTTGTTTATGTGTTATTTGGGTCTACTGAATTGAATGTAGCCTTCATGACTTTTTTGTTTGTTTTGTTTTACTCGATCCTCTGTCTCTAGCATTTAGAAGAATGCCCAAGAGATAGCAGTTGCTCAGTCAGTAACTGTTGAATGAGTGACTCTTTTTTGAAGTGCTGTCTGTTTCCTAAAGCAAACTTAGGCATTTTCTTTCTGGGTAGTCATAATAATTATAACAAACATGCAATTTATTTGCTCACATGTCAGGATGTATGACTGACTCTAACTACAGAGGCAGAGCTGGCTCCCTAATTTAGAGAGCCCAGGGCAAAATGTAAATATAAGTTCCTTCTTCAGAAATTAAGAATTTGAAGATGGCAACTGCCAAGTATTAAGCCAAGTGTGGGCCTCTTCTAAAGATAGGTTGTATGCCCCTGAAGCCAGCACTGAAGACGAACTATACATGTTTCCATTCATCTTCGTATCACAAAACAGAGCAATGCCCCTAGCACATAGTAGGGTCTTCATAAATGCTTGTTGACTGAATGCATGTATCTATCTGAAAGAAGAAAAGAAGATAAAAGGAATTTAAAAATAGTTTGCTTATATAGTACCATCACAAAATCATTTTGGAAACAATTAAAATGGGGAGCCTGCCTGCTTCTGTGGGAGAAGGCGAGGGTGGGATGTTTCGAGAGAACAGCATCGAAACATGTATATTATCTAGGGTGAAACAGATCACCAGCCCAGGTTGGATGCATGAGACAAGTGCTCAGACCTGGTGCACTGGGAAGACCCAGAGGGATCGGGTGGAGAGGGAGGTGGGAGCGGGGATTGGGATGGGGAACACATGTAAATCCATGGCTGATTCATGTCAATGTATGACAAAAACCACTACAATATTGTAAAGTAATTAGCCTCCAACTAATAAAAATAAATGGGAAAAAAAAGAAAAAAAAAAAGAAAAAAAAATGGGGAGCCTGAAGTAAGCTAAATGTGTTTTGCAAGTGACAGGACAACTTCAAGGGGAAATCAAGATGGTGTGTTACCCTTAATTTGAATTCACTGTTTCACTTTCTGATCCAGATTAATTTTCAGAACTTTCTAAGTTTTCTATTTCAGAAATCAAAATAAAAAACCCCAACAAGTCAGAGATATGATCCTGATCTACTCTGTCTTTCCAAATAAATCTTTATTTTATTCAGCATGTAAAGCAACATCCTTTAAGAAAATACTTCCTTAAATCATAAAGGTGATAGATTTGATCAGTGGTGCATATATCTTGTGATTTAACTGTAGTAACTGAAAGTAAGCAATCTACTATCTAGACATCTTTTTCATTTGCTTGATACAAATAATCTATATATACCAGAATATATTTCTATAATCTTTATTTGATTACAAATAACTTGGTGCTCAACTCCCAAGTAGGACAGAGATTTTTTATATCAGTGTGGTCCTGTGGCATATTTTAGAGAAAACAGGAATTTGAAAATGAGCTTTAAATCCCAAGAGAATTTCCCTTAAATTTAGAAGCCATGTCTATTTAGACATCACTAGAGAAAATGTTTCTTCTATTTTCTTGTTTACGGACTTAAAAAAAAAAAAAAGCCTGTAGGTCTGTAAATTTGCAATGTACTGAACAGACAGATGTAAATAGTTATGATTGAATTAATAAATATAAATAAGAGTGAGCCTTCTATAGCAGCAGGAGCAATGCAGGATCTTCAGTCAATCTATTCTTTCTTCATTTCCTCAAGATCAAGGCAGCCTTTTCTCATAAAGAACAACAATGATATGATAACACCTCATGTCTGTACACCAGCTTTTATTTTTTCAAAGAAGTTTTTTTCTGTTCTCACAGTATCATTGTTAGGAAAATAGAACAGGTAGGTTATTTTTATATCCTTCAGAAAATTGTATATGCATTCACTGAGCATAACTTACAAAAAAGGGAAAAAATGAGAAGGTAATGAATATGAGACTTCAGTGAGTATTTAGAGTAGATTAGTTTTACTATATTTAAAAATTCATGTTTTTTAAAATATTTTCTTATTGCCACTTAAGTATATCCAAACTTGTAAAATTGTAAATTTATTATCCACTTCTAAGCATTGTAAGAAGACAGAAATAAAAGATTAATTCAGTGTAGAGATCAGTGTTATGGAGATTTTCATTCTTTCTTTGAAATCTATAAATCACTGTTATTTACCTAAAATTTGTAAATGTAAAGTATATGTTATAATTGCTTATGCAGTATTTTCTGAACATCATATAGGTATCTTTTTCTACATATGACACTCAAACCATAGGTGATAATTTACCATATATTGAAATTAGTATATTCGATGATATCCTCTGAATTCAGAAAATGACAAAGTACTGAATTGTAGAATTTGATATTAATAAAAATTTCATGGAATGATATTATATCCAATAATTCTGTGTCACATATAACCACTAACTTAATTAAATCTTAAACAATGAATGTATTTCAAAACTTTTCTTCTGGACTAGAAAAATTCAATATGATTATTTTAAGAGTTAACTGGTTTCTTCCAGACAAATTAAAATCCAGTGGTCACTTTTCTGCATATATTCTATTCTTGATGTGTCTGAAGAAAGAAATAGTTAATGAGAATTGCAAAACCTGGAAAAAAGGGAAACAATAAGAGATCAAAATGTAATCAATAAGAATAATTTGTAAAGTTAACACCGTGTAATCACCAAAATGTATTCTGCAAAGGGAAAAGGGAAGAAGGAGGGTGAGACCATTTCCGAGTAAGGTACATATATATCATTGTGAATAGGAAGTCAGCAGAGTAAGTCTTCTAGGGTAACCCAGCTGTCACCAAGTTCATCTACAGAGAGGGAGAAGGAATAGACTGCTCAATTTTAATTACATGGGCTATCACTGGGCTAGATGCTGTGATATATTGCTGATGTTTGGTGTTCATCATTTTTCTAATGTCATCACTTCCAAAAAACTGCCTCATCCTGAAAGATGGTCTGCAAAGGGTAGATGATAAACTGGAACATAATAATATCCCCCATTCAGTCTTATCTTAATTGCCTCAGGATGAATACAATAGAGAATAAACATTTAAAAAGAGTATCAATGTTTATAAGACTGTCTTGTTTACCACCATCCTGAGACTAAACACTCTTACCAGTTGAAAACCTTTTATGGAACTTTAGGTGAGTGCCCTGGTTGTTGTTCAGTTGCTAAGTTGTGTCCTGGTCTTTGCATGCCAGGTTTCCCTGCCCTTCACTATCTCCCAGAGCTTCCTCAAACTCATGTTCATGGACTTGGTGATGCCATCCAGCCATCTCATCCTCTGTCACCCTCTTCTCCACCTGCCCTCAATCTTTTTCAGCATCAGGGTCTTTTCCAATAAGTTGGCTCTTCACATCCGGTGGCCAAAGTATTGGAGCTTCAGCATCAGTCCTTCCAATGAATATTCAGGACTTATTTCCTTTAGAATAGACTGGTTTGATCTTGCTGTCCAAGGGATTCTCAAGAGTCTTCTCCAGCATCACAATTCAAACACATCAATTCTTCAGCATTCAGCCTTCTTTATGGTCCAGTTCTCACATCTGTACATAACTACTGGAAAAACCATTCCTTTGACTATACAAAACTTTGTTGGCTAAGTGATGTCTGCTTTTTAATACTCTGTCTAGATTTGTCATAGCTTTCCTTCCAGGGAGCAACCATTTTTAAATTTCATGGCTACAGTGACTGCAGTGACTTTGGAGCCCAAGGTAAGAAACTATGTCACTGCTTCCACTTTTTCCCCATCTGTTTGCCATGAAGTGATGGAACTGGCTACCCTGGTCTTAGTTTTTTTGAATGCTGAGTTTTAAGCCAGCTTTTTCACTCTCTTCTTTCACCCTCTTCAAGAGGCTCTTTATTTCCTCTTTGCAATCTGCCATTAGCGTGGTATCATCTGCATATCTGAGGTTGTTGATACTTCTTTGTGGATCAACATAAATTAAATTTGCTATCTTATTTTGGCCAAAACACATGTTATATATTTATTCTGTTATACTCTACACAATAACAATCTATACAGTCTTACAATTTCTTTGAATTCATACACTTCACTAGCTTTTATTGGTCTTCAACTGGGACTGGAGAATGAAGTACTATTTCTGAACCTCGATTTTGCAGTTGGCACAATGGAAGTCAAGGAATATGTAGATTTTGCTTCCCATTGTATCTCCAGCATCTAGTACAGCACCTGACACATGGTAGATGTTCTTTTCCCTTCCAGATTTATTGAATGAATGAATGAAGCAATGAATGAAAGAGTGTATGATTGAATAGATTTACTAATGTCAAACATCTGCCTAGATTTAAGAAATTTGCCAGTATACAGACTGCCAATCATGGTCAACTCACTGCTAAGATATGAAGTATTTTTTTTTAATCACAAAAAAATGAAATCATTACCTCCCAGAACAACTTATTTTTTTTTTATAAAGCCGTTTAAAAAAATATATGTTTCTATTTTTTTGAACAATGCCACACACCATGTGGGATGTTAGTTCCCCAACCAGGAATTGAACCCAAGCCCCCAGCATTGGAAGTGGGGTGTCTTAACCAACTGGACCACCATGGAAGTCCTGGATGACAATGATTTCCAGGCTCCACCCAGGCTGATCTAAGGATATTGCCTCCAGTTGGGACCTCTTGTGTGTGAACAGTTTCAAGGTCCTGGCTCCTATTGGATTAATTAGTCTGCTTAGGTCTCCATCCGGTTGTTCTACAGTGTATGCCATATACTTTATACTTAATTTTGTTTTATACTTAAACATATAAACAAAAACTTACCTCTGAAACCAAAAGTCCAAAGTTAATTCCAATTAATGTCAAAGCATTAGCATGATACCATGTGTTGATTTTATTTTCACAACCCTAAGGAAAAGAACTTACTTAGATTGGCTTGGGGATATAAATGGTTTTATACATAATTCCATTACAGAGAAGAGACAAAGAGATTAGTAATTCACCAAAGTCTAAAGAGCAAGTCAATATCTAACTGGAGACTGGACTTTTTAGCCCAGAAAGCTTCATATAATAGCAGGGTGACCCAGTTGCTACTTTTTAAGTTGCTAAGATGTTGTCAGGTAGTCGAAATCAGAAATTTATTAAGTTTTGAGAGGGATTTGATTTTCTGAACACTACTGAAATTCAGCAGGGTATATACTATTGCCTAACATGATATTTCCCAAAGAGAACCTTTTTTGGCGAATCCTCCAAATGGAGACTCCTTAAAGGGAGATTCCTTAATGGAAATTCCTTAAGTGGAGATTAAATGGAATCCTTAAATGGAGACTCCTCCATTTATCTATGAATGAATTATGTTATTGAAAGATAACATCTTAAAATTAGAATAACATCAAAGTATTAGATTAACACAAAGTATTAGTATTACACAAAGATATTAGTATAACACAAAATATTAGGTTAACAAAAATGTTAATTTTATTAACATTAGAATAACAAAAAGTATTAGAAGTTATTGGGATGGAAATCCCCAGTTTATCATGTCCTATATCTGTAAATAGCAGTTGCTACAGATGAACCTCTACTATGGTTTCTGCTGCCTTAATGTGAACACCACCCTTGACACATCTCGGATTTCCTCCCTTAGTTTTTGCCAAACCTCATGCCTCTTTATTTCTGCTGCTGCAGTTCCTTTACCAGTCCTATACAACTGAGATTCGCCAGAAGGATCTCCTCTGTCAAAAGATGGCTGAGGAGAGACTTAATGGAATCCCAAGTTCTAGGCACACTTAGATCACATATTCCAGAAAGTTTAATGAATTTATTAGGTAAGTGATATAACCCACTTCTCTGTGGTTTCATTAGCAAGATGCTTAAGAACCTAATAACCATGAATGGCATTGTTTTTAATACAACAATTTGCTCAGGATTCTAAAATGACTTGCAGAAAAAAGGGGGGGGGCGTACTGTAAACACTTGGAGAAGCCTTGGCTTATACTTACCTGTAGGTATGTTGCATTCAGTGGCTCATCACAAAACCACTTTCTTAATGTAGAATTTGTGCAAGAACATGGCACCTGTTCTGAATTTTCTTTATTCTTATTCTTGGTCCAATCTGTGTAATTTTTTCGGCCACAACACTGCAACTAGAAAAATGATTCTATAAGTTTTACTATAGAATATTCAAAATGCAGTTAATTATATGACCCCTATGCTTCTCAAATGGTTTTATGATAAATTTATTAATTTATTCTACATTGAAATATAACAGATTAAACAAGTATTTTTTTGTTTATTTAAACTATTAACCTGTTGCTGCTATGGTTGATATTAACCAGAATTAAAGATCTCTACACATATACGTGGGCTATGTTTGAATGAAATTGTTATATATGAATTTACCTTATTGAGTTCAGGATGAAAGATATACTTGATTTACTAAATCATGTTTAGAGACAGAACATAGGAGGGCGAATCCCTTGAGCCATACCTTCTCCTAACTATAAGAGTTGATTATGATTTCTCCAAAATATGCTGCCATATGTGTTTAATATACATAGAGACTCAGGGTTATTTCTACATTCTTAGGGTTAATGTAAGATGTTAACCTTATATTTTGTATTGTGTGAAAAGCTGCCACCAAAAAAAAAAAAAAAACCCAAAAAGGTAATAAGGAGGAGTCATAGAAATGATCAAGCATCTATGAAATGTCTCATTTCCAATCCTATCAAGTTCAGTTGAAAGGTGTGAAAGAATCAGTTATGTATTTGCCACCCAGAAAATAAGAGAAAGTTAAAGTGAGTAGTTTTTAAAGTTAAAGTGTCTGAGGAGGCCTTGCAAATAGCTGTGTAAGCGAAGCCTAAAGCAAAGGAGAAAAGGAAAGATATACCCATTTGAAATCAGAGTTCTAAAGAATAGCAAGGAGAGATAAGAAAGCCTTCCTCAGCGATCAATGCAAAGAAATAGAGGAAAACAATAGAATGGGAAAGACTAGAGATCTCTTCAAGAAAATTAGAGATACCAAGGGAACATTTCATGCAAAGATGGGCTCGATAAAGGACAGAAATGGTATGGACCTAACAGAAGCAGAAGATATTAAGAGGTGGCAAGAATACACAGAAAAACTGTACAAAAAAGATCTTCATGACCCAGATAATCACAGTGGTGTGATCACTCACCTAGAGCCAGACAACCTGGAATGTGAAGTCAAGTGGGCCTTAGGAAGCATCACTATGAACAAAGCTAGTGGAGGTGATGGAATTCCAGTTGAGCTATTTCAAATCCTGAAAGATGATGCTGTGAAAGTGCTGCACTCAATATGTCAGCCAATCTGGAAAACTCAGCAGTGGCCACAGGACTGGAAAAGGTCAGTTTTGACTCCAATCCCAAAGAAAGGCAATCCCAAAGAATGCTCAAACTACTGCACAATTGCACTCATCTCACACGCTAGTGAAGTAATGCTTAAAATTTTCCAAGCCAGGCTTCAGTAATAGGTGAACCGTGAACTTCCATATGTTCAAGCTGGTTTTAGAAAAGGCAGAGGAAAAAAAAAGAAAAGGCAGAGGAACCAGAGATCAAATTGACAACATCTGCTGGATCATCGAAAAAGCAAGAGTTCCAGAAAAACATCTATTTCTGCTTTATTGACTGTGCCACAGCCTTCAACTGTGTAGGTCACAATAAACTGTGGAAAATTCTGAAAAAGATGGGAATAACAGACCACCTGACCTGCCTCTTGAGAAACCTGTATGCAGGTCAAGAAGCAACAGTTAGAACTGGACATGGAACAACAGACTGGTTCCAAATAGGAAAAGGAGTATGTCAAGGCTGTATATTTTCACCCTGCTTATTTAACTTATATGCAGAGTACATCATGAGAAACGCTGGGCTGGAGAAAGCACAAGCTGGAATCAAGATTGCCGGGAGAAATATCAATAACCTCAGATATGCAGATGACACCAACTTTATGGCAGAAAGTGAAGAAGAACCAAAGAGCCTCTTGATGAAAGTGAAAGAGGAGAGTGAAAAAGTTGGCTTAAAGCTCAACATTCAGAAAACTAAAATCATGGCATCCAGTCCCATCACTTCATGGCAGATAGATGGGGAAACAGTGGAAACAGTGGCAGACTTTATTTTTTGGGGCTCCAAAATCACTGCAGATGGTGACTGTAGCCATGAAATTAAAAGACACTAGCTCTTTGGAAGGAAAGTCATGACCAACTTGACAGCATATTAAAAAGCAGAGACATTACTTTGCCAACAAAGGTCTGTCTAGTCAAGGCTATGGTTTTTCCAGTGGTCATGTATGGATGTGAGAGTTGGTCTATAAAGAAAGCTGAGTGCCAAAGAATTGATGCTTTTGAACTGTGGTGTTGGAGAAGACTCTTGAGCGTCCCTTGGACTGCAAGGAGATCCAACCAGTCCATCCTAAAGGAGATCAGTCTTGGGTGTTCATTGGAAGGACTGATGTTGAAGCTGAAACTCCAATACTTTGCTCACCTGATGTGAAGAGCTGACTCATTGGAAAAGACCCTGATGCTGGGAAAGATTGAGGGCAGAAGAAGAAGGGGACGACAGAGGATGAGAAGGTTGGATGGCATCACCGACTCGATGGACACGGGTTTGGGTAGACTCTGGGAGTTGGTGATGGACAGGGAGGCCTGGCGTGCTGCGGTCCATGGGGTCACAAAGAGTCGGACATGACTGAGCGACTGAACTAAACTGAACTGCAAGTGAGTAAGTAGATCATTATTTTCTAGGCTTGTTATTGAAAGTTATAGCATCAGTACCACCTATGTTGCAGTATGTGCCAACAGTCTTGGAAATGTTGAATGACTAATATAGTACTTTAGAGACTGGGTACTGAAAGTTAATAAAATCTACATATACTATCTCAATGCTCAATGATATTCATGGCTAGGAAACATAAGTTGGGATCTCATTAATGACAGTGATGTCATACATATAGAAGTGTTTTCCTGATTATCAGTTAATGACCATAGGAAGGTTTGATACACTATTAGTCATAATGCTATCTGAAAACGCAATACCTTTTCAGATCACATACACCAAAGAAAAAATAAGGTGAATAAAATAGTTTATAATACATTTCATTTCTCCTAAGAAGCATTTCTGTTATTAAACATACTAAAAATAATAACTGTTTATGTGAAACTCTGGTATAGCACTTGAGCACAAAATCTAGAGTAGTTTGTCAGGGATTGAATTTTGGCTGTGCCATCTCTTAGCCATGTGACACTGGCTAAGTTATGAATTTCTCTACCTTAATCAACAAAATGAAGATAATAGTTCTTACCTCATTGGACTGAGAGGACTAAGTAGTTAATATATGCAAAGCACCTAAAAAAGGAACTGGGGCTATGTAAATGTTTTCTATTTTCTTTATCAAGCAGTTACTATGTTCCTGTGCCGATCTATTCTTGTAACCATTTGGCTGACTACACACATTCCCTTACCTTGACAAGAAACATCTGAACAGTGAAATAATAACCCTAACAACATTAACTAACAAGTATTAGGTTGCTTACTGTCTCCGAGATCCAAGGCTTTCTATGTATTAAATATATTATTTCCTTTGTTCTTGACAACCAGAGGTAGGGGTTATTCTGCCTATTTTGTTAATATGGTACCTGAAGTTAAGAAGATTTGTTATCCAGGATCATAAAGTTAGCACATGGCAAACCTGATGTTCAGGCTCAAATGGGAACCATCAGGATAATCTGTTGCCAGCAGCGACTGGGCTTAGAATTTATCTCCCCCTGGATGCAATAGAGTAGGTTATTGTTACAGTTGGCAGAAGACTCCCAACACTTTTATAGCTGAATCCAGGTTAAAATGACCAGATATCAATTGACCCAGAAAAGTAGATACACCTTACAAAAGAAAGGTAAAACTTAAGATCTGTAAATTTAGACAATCCTATTGCACCTCATTTGTTTAGAAGAAATACAAGAACCTTACATTCCTGTGCCCACCCCCTGTCCTTCCTTGTCTTCCCACTTCTCAGCTGTCACTTTTGGCGTCTAATTTTTTACTTTTATGATAATTTCATCTTACTGTTTTCTGCAGAGCATTCAGAATCATCCACTTGGGTATATCTTGAGGAAAATCCTCAGATCCATACTCAGAAATGATGGAATCAATTTTATTATGCCATGCTTGGTGAACCTGTTGAAAATTTTATTAAAAATGAAAACTTGATAGAAACTTCCCTTATGGTTCCTCATAAGAAGTATTCAAACTCAGTTTGTTATTTTCAACTTATTTCTAAGTGTTTTTTTTTCTTCCTATCATTATTTTTAGCAATGAGCAAGTGTGAATACCTTTGGTATTTTACACTGTGATCTACAGGAAGACTACATTAGACTTCTTTTATGATTAGGAAGAAAGTTATGTGCTGCTATCCTCAATGTTGAAGGGTTCTAAGATTTCTTATAATGTCAGGAAAAATTGTGAAAGACTTATAAATGGAAAAGATAACTGAGGATCTTTTCAATGGAAACTAGGTTTTCTCTAGTGTACCTTCAGGGTTCTCTGACTCTGTGAGTCTGTACCTTTGACAGCCTTTAATTTATTTTACAACTTTGTAAGTTGTGTATTTGTCGGTCTCAATATCCCAATTCAAATGATTCTTTGTTGGAGGGAACTGCAGATGAATTTTTCCTGGTGGGGATGAAATTGATCCCTTTCCTTTCAAAGTCAGTTTTTATGTCAGTTTTTGTATCTATATAAATGTTTTCTCTTTGAACTCTCCTTCTAATTAGTTTTTATATCTAAAATAGTTCCCACATTAATCAAGATGTTAAATAAAATTAATGACCTGAATCTACTGTATATTTTACAAGAATTACACTTTTTGATTTAAAAATTATCTTTCCATAATGCTAAAGCAAAAATAATCATATCTGAAAGGTGGGGGAAAATTGTTATTTTGAAATCTAGATATTGCATGGGTAATTTTCAAAAGGAACTTATATAAGCATTTAAAAATTTATGTGGCTTTCATAAGTAAGTCCTAATTTGGTCCTAAAAAATAGTTAAAGATAGAACTTCCAGATGTTATTTTCATTTTATGAACCATGATACAGATACTCAAGAGAATATGATATTTGCTTTGTTTACATGAATGAAGAAGAGGTGTGACTTCTAAACCTAAATCATCTGAAATCTAGTCTAATACTTTCTCATTGTAATATGCTATCTTTGAATGATGAAAACTAAATAACTGGTTGGAATACTACAATAATTAAGACACCTGTACATGTTAAACTCTTACACACTTACATCTAAGAAGCTTAGAATGATATAATGTGTTATTCATATAATCTATTTCACATATTCTCCGAGTTATTTTTTATTCAGAATAGAAAATGATGCTTTTCTATTTTATACTGTTGTGATAACATGGAGACATATCCTCATTTACCTTTTAAAGCTTAACTTGGGAGGTTGAGAGTGCCCACGAATCACACTTTAGCATATAAGAATCAAAATGATTTTCATATATAATCTAGGTTATCACTATATAAATAAAATTCCCTCACACATATTCAATGTGAAAAATATCCAGTGAAGCCCTAGTGCATCTCCAACACTGAGTCAGCATTATAAATGACATAAAATATTTAAAAGCTCGTGAGAGCTTAATCCAGTTTGAACTGTAGAAGTCAAGGTGATATAAACTAAGCTGCTATATCTAATACTGGTTAACAAATGTTAGAGTTCAGACTCTGTCATTTGGCCATGATATATTTTACATGTATTTCTGGGCTCAAAACCTCAATTTTCTGTTCTAGAAAGCAGGACTTACAATGCATCTCTAGGATTTGTTATGAGGATCAATAATATAGTGCCAATAAAGTGCCTATCACAGTCTTTAGCACATGGTAGTTATTATTAAGTGAGAGATTTTATTATTCCTAAAATAGGTGGAGAGGAGTATGTGAATAATACTTAAATAAATATGGGTGACATTGATTAACTGTATCCATGTGTTAAAGGTCCTTAAGTCTGATATTCAGGTTCTATCACCAGGTCCAAAAGTTAGAGGATGATGTGTTGGGATCAAGACCGCTTTAGAGGATTCACTTGACTGTGTGTGCATGCACACACACACATGCACACACATTTTTTCACGTGGAGAGAAGAATAAATGTCAAGTCATTAACAATAGGCCCTAGGTAATTAGATACCCAGGACAGATGCCAAGCACAAGAGAGCAAATGAAGTTGGAAAGCAATGGTGTTATATAGAAAAGATTTTGTTGAGGTTTGGCTATTAATTATGCATTGAGATATATATATATAATTTGCTTTGCTCATATATATCATATATATGATATATATGATATGTATATATAGAGAGAGAGAGAAAGAGAAAGAGAGAGAGAAAGAGAGAGAGAGAGAGAAGGCAAGTGCAAGTGAGACAGAGAGAGTTTGAAGGCTAGGAACCATAGGAATTGGTCAGGGTCACCTTCAAAATTCAATAAGGGAAGGACTTTCCTGGTGGCCAAGTGGTTAAGAATCCGCGTGGCAGTGTGGGGCACATGGGTTCAGTCCCTGGTCCGGGAAAATCCCACACGCTTCGGGGAAACCAAGCCTGTGCTCTGTGACTACTGAAGCCTGCATGCCTAGAGCACATGCTCTGCAACAGAGCCATCACAATAAGAAACCTGGGCAACACAGTGAAGAGTCACCTGTGCTCACCGCGACTAGAGAAGGCCTGCAGGCAGCAACAAAGACCCAGCACATCCAAGAAATAAATAAATAAAAATTATCTTTTAAAAGTCAAATAAGGGCAGGTAGAGAGCTCTTAAACAGCTACTCTGTTACAGGGACTTTATAACTGTCAGTTAATGATAACTCTATAAGGTAGTAGATGAAGACGCAGGTTTAAGGACTGACTTCAAGTCCGTGGTCTTAGTGTTATAAGACAGTCTCCCAGGATACAAAAACAGACCTTGACTGCACGGAAATACTGAAGTTTCTTAAAGATTTGAAAGTAACTGTAGGCTGTAAAGAGGTAAGTTGTGTTACCAAAAAGTTTTCAGGCAATTTATTATGTGCTTTTATGAACTTAAAAAATATAAATCACTTGTTAATTTAATTTTGTCACTTATGGCCATAACTATACAAATATATGAATTATTCAGTACATCTTATTTAATGAAATTGCTAAATTTAAAATTAGTACTAATTAGTATCTTTAGAAAGTCTAAAGATATTTCTTTACAAGAACAGAATATAGTACAGTATGTGGTTATTAGTGATAGCCAGGGTTGGCTGAGGGGGCCAGTTTTGGATTCCCCACTCTAAGTATTATCTCCTGTTCCCCCACATTTTTTGTCATTTACAACAACATTCTCAGTCTCCTGCAGACAGAGTTAAGACATGAACTCTGTCCTCCATTCCAATCTGACCCTTGTCTCCTTTCTATTATACAATTCTAGTACTTCCATTTCATCCTTTTTCCCCTAAAGACATTTACTTACCTTTAGCTTTTAATATAGGTTTTAATATAGGTTTAGGTCTCAATAATCTACAACATCTGATTTTCCTATTTTTCAAATAAAAGGATGATGTTCCCATACCTCTTCTTTCTTTGCAAAGATGAGTGTTGAAAGTACAACCTGAACACCAACAGCCCACATTAACAATACTGCATACTACGAGAAAAGAAACAGAGAGATGAGAACTATGCTCCTAATATATTTTTTAGATACTACAGTGATGGAAAACACACATCATATGAAATATGCAGTCTTAAAATATACATAGGTATTACTGAAGTTTCCTGTTCTCATATACATGAGTGAAATCATTACATCAAAAGGCAAAAAAATCAATGAACATTTGGATAAGAGTAAGATAGAAAGAAGTGAAAATATTTCATGAGAACTCAGACTATTTGGTCTAATGGAGTTGATAATAATACCCTCTTCATTCAGATCTAAAACTCATAGAGGGGAATTTAAATATCTTGACTTCCACTTAACACCACTCCTCTTACACTATGGAACTCACTAAATTGTGACCAGATATAAACTATTCCATCATGCACAAAGTAATGACAGCCTTAACAACAAGAAAATAATGAGAAAGTAACAAAGGCAACGTCAATAGTAGAGTCTATATGCACATTGGGACTATTGCTTTGAAAACTAAAACTACTTCAAAGCCAAACAAAATGATTTTTGCATTATTTGACTCTTTTCTTGTTTTAAAATTTATGGCCACTGCAATCTTCTTCATTATAGCAGCACAGTGTTACATATTATCTAGAATTCAAAATAACTTCTAAAGTGATGTGTCTGAATATTTTACTAAATAAAATACAAGAATGATTTAGTTAGTATTATTAGTTTTACATATTTTAAACATTTAATACTTTAAAACAGTCCATTAACATTGCTTACTCGACATAAACTGTATTTCCTATTTTCAGGACAAAAATAAGTTTTGTCTTTAGATCTGTTTAGAATTTTAGGTTTTTAATACTTCTAAACATAATACCTCACTTAATCTTCACTATAAGAAATAGTGGTGAAGACAGGTAGAGACAGAGTAAATGTGCAAAACAATTTTTTGTTTTTTAAGTGACTGGGTTTCTTTTCAATGGCAAGCTGGTTGAGGTCTACTGGACCCTTGCAGGTTTCTGATTCAATGGTAATATGAAATGTTACATTTGCCTAAGCTATTATTCAACTCTGTAGAGAGTTAATTTACAGAACTCTGATAGTATCAATAATACAAAAGTCCCATCATAATGCAAATGATTACTATTCATGAAAATACAAATGAATACAGTTTATAGAAAATATAAATCTCCACAAGTCTAATTCTCATTTAAACCAGTTGTGACTTCTTACTGGTTCCCCTATAATTATTTAAATAAAGTCTCTGACACATGTTCATTTTCATACAGGTAAGTCATGATTTTATCCTTGAAAATTATTATCTTTTAACCTCAGTTAGATGTCTACAGAAATAAGACTAAAATTTTCCTGCAAGCCATTTCTGTCCCAGTTTCCATATCCAAAATCAGAAGTCCCATGAGAAAATTATGCTAGAGCCCCCAGAATAAAAGAAAGATAAAATTTGAGAGCTAAAGGTTTGCCTTTGAGGAGAATAAGAAATGACTGAGGTCTTTTTTTCCAGGATAAGGTGGCAAGACCCCAGAGGGAAATGAAGGTGTGGTTTCCAAATCTGCCTAAAATGCTTCTGCCCTGGGTAATATTCAAATAACAAGAAGTAGCAATTACTAACAATAGGCAGCAACTAATTCCTCTGCCAGGCAGGACTCCTTCAATTGCTGTGTCATTGGCAGGGTTGACTGTCTCAGGTTTCAGGGGAAGTAAACTGCAGGAAAGGAACTGAGGTAATGGTCCCTTACCAGTCCTTCACAAAAGAATTTCACCGATATGCCTGTACTGGTATATGCTGATGAAGAGCAACCCTGGTTTTGCTGCTCCAGGCCATCCAAACAGCAAATGCACAGTCCTGAAGGAACCACATCAGCCGGGAAAGGGAGCGCTTTTATGGTAACTGGTGTAGACTGATAACAGAATCCAGAGTGATCACCAGGACTTTCTGTGCGACATAAGAGTTAGGTATTCTTGGCAAGAGGCACCATTGCTAGATTTGAATTTCCTATCACAGGAAAGTGCCTGTGAATTAAAACCGATTTGAGGACTTCCTGGCGGTCCAATGGCTAAGACTCCGAGATCCCAATGAAGGGGTCCTGGGTTCGATCCCTGGTCAGCAAACTAGATCCCACATGAAACAACTGAAGAGCCCATAGGCTGCAACTAAGACCTGATGCAGTCACATAGTCGCTAAGTCACGTCGGACTCTTTTGCGACCCCATGGGCTGTAGCCCACCAGGATCCTCTGTCCATGCGATTTCCCAGGGCAAGAATACTGGAGTGGGTTGCCATGTCCTTCTCCAATTTGATTTAAAGAAAATGTTAAAAGCTATATTTCATCTGAAGATATTATGAAGAAGATATTAAGAAGAGGTGGAAAGAACATACAGAAAAACTATACAAAAAAGATCTTAATGTCCCAGATAACCACAATGGTGTGATCACTCACCTAGAGCCAGACATCTTGGAGTGCGTTCAAGTGGGCCTTAGGAAGCATCACTATGAACAAAGCTAATGGAGGTAATGGAATTCCAGTTGAGCTATTTCAAATCCTAAAAGATGACGCTTTAAAGTGCTGCACTCAATATGCCAGCAAATATGGAAAACTCAGCAGTGGCCACAGGACAGGAAAAGGTCAGTTTTCACTCCAATCCCAAAGTAAGACAATGCCAAAGAATGTTCAAATTACTGCACAATTGCACTCATCTCACACGCTAGTAAAGTAATGCTCAAAATTCTCCAAACCACGCTTCAAGAGTACGTAAACCGAGAACTTCCAGATGTTCAAGCTGGATTTAGAAAAGGCAGAGGAAACAAATTGCCAACATCCGTTGGATCATAGGAAAAAACAACAAAAAACATGACAGGACGTTTTAGGAAAAACATCTGCTTCACTGATTACTCTAAAGTCTTTGACTGTGTGGATCACAACAAACTGTGGAAATTTCTTAAACAGATGGGAATACCAGACCACCTTACCTGCCTCCTGAGAATCCTGCATGCAGGTCAGGAAGCAACAGTTAGAACCGAACATGGAACAACAGACTGGTTCCAAATAGGAAAAGGAGTATGTCAAGGATGTGTATTGTCACCCTGCTTATTTCACTTATATGCAGAGTACATCATGCAAAATGCTGGACTGGATAAAGCACAAGCTGGAATCAAGATTGCCGGGAGAAATAACAATAACCTCAGATATGTAGATGGCACCACCCTTGTGGCAGAAAGCGAAGTGTAACTAAAGAGCCCCTTGATGAAAGTGAAAGAGGAGAGTGAAAAGGCTGGTTTAAAACTCAACATTCAAAAAACTAAGATCATGGCATCTGGTCCCATCACTTCATGCCAAATAGATGTGGAAACAATGGAAACAGTGACAGACTTTATTTTGGGGGGCTCCAAAATCACTGAAGATGGTGACTGCAGTCATGAAATTAAAAGACGCTTGCTCCTTGGAAGAAAAGTTATGACCAACCTATACAGCATATTGAAAAGCAGAGACATTACTTTGCCAACAAAGGTCGGTCTAGTCAAAGCTATGATTTTTCCAGTAGTCATGTATGAACATGAAAATTGGACCATAAAGAAGGCTGAGTGCCAAAGAATTGATGCTTTTGAACTGTGGTGTTGTATAAGACTCTTGAGAGTCCCTTGGATTGCAAGATCAAACCAGTTAATCAAATCAGTCTTGAATATTCATTGGAAGGAATGATGTTGAAGCTGAAACTCCAATACTTTAGTCACCAGATGAGAAGAGAGCCTACTCATTAGAGAAGACCCTGATGCTGGGAAAGATTGAAGGCAGGAGGAGAAGGGATGAGGATGAGACGGTTGAATGGCATCACTGACTCAATGGACATGAGTTTGAGCAAGATCTGGGAGAAGGTGAAGGACAGGGAAGCCTGGTGTGCTGCAGTGCCTGGGGTCGGGAAGAGTTGGACACGATCGAGTCTGAACAACAACACAGTTCACCTGAATCTGTGGACTGGTATGTGATCCACACCATTCTCATATATGGTAAATGACTCAAGTTCAGATTTGTATTCCTCATTATGAGTTATATTTTCATGTATATGCCTGGGGAGAGATAGTGTGCTAACCTGATGCCAGAGTCTGGCCCCCCTCAGCAGTTATATTTCTCTTGGTTAAATTATATATTGTGGTCTCAGTTATAAGTTAGCATCCCATATAGTACACCCACAGGGAGAAAATGTGCCAACTACAGGCCACTGTTTCCTTTTCCCTCCTAAGCTTCAATGTTCACTGACTTTAACACATTTTATTCTGCTTTTAGTCTTCATGTTTAAGTTTAGTTAGTTGTAGTTCACCTTAGGCAATGGTACATGTTGACCCTGTTTGAAAATTAATATCTAATGTGTTAAGTGTTGAGGTCCAGATTTTGTCCACTGAAAACTCAGCAAGAAAATTCTGCCTAAGCAAAGATTCCTGGGAGGGGACACTTCATTGCCTTGCTCCCAAGAGCCCATTATAGTGCAACGTTTCAGTGACATAAGTCATTTTTGTCCTCACTTGTGTAATTTGAACACTGAAAATCAAAGCTACAAATTCAAACTATTGAAATGAAATACGTACCAGAATTAGGAGCCACCTGATCTCATTGTGAATTCCCAAATAACCCAAGAGACAAAGAAGAAGAATAGCAGATCCAGTTCCAATCAAAATTCGAAAAATATACACTGTCAAGTGATTATTTTCATCTGTGGAAACCACAAAATAGCTATTATTAAGTGATATGTGTTTTCTATTTAATAATAAATGCAGCAACCAAAGGTTTCCCTAAGCAGCTGTTGCCAAATCACTAGGATTCTCTTTCTTTCTCTCTTTTTAATCTCATTCCAGCACCTCTTACTTATTCTTATGGACTTTTCTTCCTTTAATGACGTGATAGAGAATTTCTTCAATCTCAGAAGATCTCTTTAAGTTAACCTTGTCTTTAATGTCTTCTATAAAAGAAGACAACTTTTTCTTGCATGAATTCTTCTATGTATAACATATGTCCAAACATTTATGTATTCATTCATTCATTCATCAAAAATAGTTTGAGTACCTAACATATGTGGGCTTCCTTGGTGGCTCAGTGATACAGAATCCGCCTGCCAATGCAGGAGATGTGGGTTCAATCCCTGAATCGGGAAGATCCCCTGGAGAAGAAAATGGCAACCCACCTGAGTACTCTTGCCTGGGAAATCCTATGGACAGAAAGAGGCTGGTGGGCTATAGTACCTGGGGTCACAAACAAGCCAGATATGACTTAAGCAACTAACCAACAGCCTAACATGTGGGTTAAGTTTCCCTTGTATGAGACCCTGAGTTTATTGCTAATATGGCCCCATTAAAAGTGTATTTTATTCTCTCCCCATCTAGACTGAGCTCTCTGGGCTAGAGACTATATATATACTTATATAGTCAACAGACTAACTGTTAAATGGTTAGTGCTATGGCAGATGTAGTGCTTAACAAATAATCTTTTAAAGGGAGAATGAATACATTAAACATGCCCTAGGTTTGATGGGAGAAGACCAGAGGCAGTGCGCAGTGGTGTGCTGGAACAAGATTGTTCTGGTACATAAAGCCAAGGGTTACATTTTCACAAGATCTGTAAGCTGCCTCAGTCCACATTGGCACCTTAAAACCGGCCATCCCGGGATCCTTTAAACCACAGAAATCAGCACATTGAAAAAAAAAAGATCCTCCATTGCAGAATACTTACTGGCACAGTTCTGGGTAGAGAAGCACCTAATTCAGTAGGGGGAGAAGGTGAAGGTAGGTAAGATTACTGGGGAAGGTAACACTTGAGTTTAGGCTCTGAATGATAATTGGAAATCGCTACGTTGAAACGATGGAAGCATTCTGAGACACAGGACGGTGCAATGTGTTTAAAAAACTTAGCCTTGCTGGCAGTTAAGTTTCAGGCAGGTGAGACTGGGAAGGTTTGCAGGAGTGAAATTATATGCTGTTTTCGAGTCTTCCTTACTGGAATTAAGCTCCGTGAGGACATGCCCTTTATCTTTCTTGTACACTACTGTATCCTTAGCTCATGGGATAGTGCCTAATGATATATATATATCATGTATATATATATATAGATATATCCTTCTTTATCCATTCATGTATTCATGTACAGTTGTTTCCACATAGGGAATATTATATTTCTAACTATGTGATGGTGATAGGATATGGTATCTGAGTTGGTTTAGTGTTTTTTTTTTTGGTTGTGTTGAGTCTTTGCCACTTTGCTCAAGCTTTCTCTAGCTGTGGAGAGCGGGACTCTCGCTGTGATGACTTCCCTTGTTGCATAGCACAGGCTTGAGGCTTGGGCTTCAGCAGTTGCAGCTGTCTGACTCTAGGACCCATGGGCTCAGAGGCTGTGGTTCCGGGATCTAGGGTACAGGCTCTGCAGTTGTGAATGTGATTAGTTCCTCTGCAGTATGTGGGATCTTCCCGAATCAGGGATCAAACCCGGGTCTCCTTCCTTGGCAGGCAGGTTCTGACCCACTGCACCACCAGGGAAGTCCGGTAACTGAGTTTTAAAAGAGATTATTTAACTTGGGCAGTGAAACTATATTGATCTCCATTATCTTTTAATATTTATAAATCTGTAAAAGTCTCGAGTTAGCAGAACCACAATCCTTTATTTCTCTCATCTCTCTTGCCCAGAGTTTCTAGCTTTTTCTCTTAAAATTCTCTCTCCTTTATGGTCTTGGATTTAAGTCTTATTATTTAATAAGGTGTTTCTAAAACCAATTGATGAAGACCTGAGGAAAAATTGAACAGTACTTAATGAATTTTAGGGAAACACTGCCACCTGCTGACTAAGTCACATATTCAGTTGCTTAACATTGAATGCCTTATTTGATTTAAAGAAAGCAAAATAGATACATACCCAAAGCTGTGAAAAAATTATTTCCATCTAATAAAAGCCATGTACCAAATCCCATGAGTAAAAGTCCCAGAACCTACAAAAAATAGCCAATACTTATTTTTTAACTATCTGCTAATAAAAATGTACATTTTCTTTACTAAATAATTATGAAGAAACTTACCAAGAAAGCTCCATTAATGAGATTAAGAAAGTATTTAAAAATCAACCTCTTGTTTTTCCTTAACATTATTTTTCTCCGCATATACTGATAATTCTGAAAAGATAAGCACAACTTTCACTATAAACACCACAGTAATAACTTGAAATAATTCTGCCTACTCATATCTTTTATTTGCATATTTTCCCTCACACCAGCAGTCAGTATCACATTCCTCTTTGTTCTCCTGAATATAACAAAATATTGAAGAGTGTCTTGAAACTGTCTGTCTTTATCTGCACTTTTTTTGTCCAGGCAGTTGAGATCAAAGGGCATTTGTGTAACATGTCAAGAGCTGCCTTACTGAATTTCCTGCAGTTTTCAGAAAGTAAAGTATTTTGTTTGCAGTCATAACACACCTTGTTCTCCTTGCCAGAAATCTTTCCTTTACATCTCACTGCCTTCCTCTTTCCCAGAAGAATGTTATCTCAGAAGCCTTTCCCTAATCTCGCTTTGTTGCCTGTGTTCATCTTTACTTTCTCCCTTCCTATGGAGACTTTCAGGCCCTTAAGCAGAGAGAACAGATCTTGTATATCATAACCCCAAGTCTAACATATAGTGGGAACCATGTGTTACAAATACAGATTTGTTGAATCAATCAATCAACAAATTATATTTTTATTTATATAAATAACAATTATATTATTTTATAAATAATGAATATATTATTCATAAATAGTGAATTATATTATTTAACTAGTTTACAATTTACTTTGATATACAGTACAGTGAAAAGAACAACGTGGTTTTAAAAAAAAAAATGGTTTTCCAGATACCCTATTTTCCTAAAATATTTATGGAAAAGTCAACATTTATCCTCCTGGTTTTGAGTGCTTGGCTTATTAGATATGTAGGTTTTACATTTTCTTGGGTATGTTCCTGGGTTTCCTTTTTTCTTTCACTTTTTCAGTTCTAGCTAGCTCCATATTTTTAAAAGTACTGTGGTTTACAATGTTTCAACACATGCAGCAGATAACTGACACAGTGCCAAGCGAGAAAGTGAAACAGCATAGAAGCCCTGTGCCCCTGTCCTTGGAAGGAAAAGGCTTTTGCTTTAGTCTCCCAGGCCTCCCTTGAGTCTCAAAAGGCTGACTCAAGAGTTAATGATTAGGAAATGTGAAGATGCAGAAACAAAGAATAGCTGTTGGGCTAGGGAACTGGTAACAATTTAGATTAGAAGTCTGCCACACAGCAGAACCACTGAACTCAGCTCCCTGAAAGATACAAACAAAGGCCTGACACATTCCTAAGTTATTTTTATAAGAAACAGGTCCCCACCAGATGAAAACTGCTGACCATAAGAACACAGATCCGAGAGTGGTTGAAACCCAGGGATTGATGATGCTGAAGACTTCACCTTGATGCCAGCCAATCCAAGAATTGTGTACGAGCCGATCACATACCCCTGAAACCGCCTCCCTCACACCACCTTTAAACCCTTCCCTGAAAGCCACCTGGGACCTGGGACCTTTCGAGCTCGAGCAGCCTGTTCTCCTTGCTAGATGCCCTGCAATAAACACTGTGCTTTCCTCTGGCACAACCACTGTCAGAGGATTGGCTTTACTGCATGTGAGCGAGTGGACCCAAGCTTGATTCAGTAACAAAAGCAGGTTTAGTAAGAAGAATTTGAATCTGTCTGTCCCTCATTAGGAAGAAACCAATCCATCTGTTGAACTGAAAGATGCCTTAGAAAGTGGAAAGTAAGAGATGTGTAGGACAGCACCCACGCACTTTCCTCTTTACTTCACCCTAAGGCCATATTCCTCCTAAAAAATCCCCAAGGTATTTCTTCACAGCTTCAGAGTGTCTCCAGGCTTTATCTTCCACTCTCTGCCTCAGAAATCTTCTGCTGCTGTTTGGTTTCTCCACTTTCCGTCCTCTAGTCTTATTCGTGGATTCCTCCAGTGCCTGGACTTTCTGGATGGGACACTCAGTGGGAAAGACCGCCCAATTTTTTATTGTTGTTGTTTATTTCCAAGATGCTTTAGATCTACATTTTGGCTTCAGTTTTACTTACCGCAGTACATGAGAAAGCTGTGATCCTCTTCTACAGTCTGAACAAGAAAGTGAAAGTGAAAGTTGCTGTCTTGTCTGACTCTGCAACCCCATCGACTTAGTCCATGGAATTCTCCAGGTCAGAATACTGGAGTGGGTAGCCTTTCCTTTCTCCAGGGGATCTTCCCAACCCAGGAATCAAACCCAGGTCTCCCACATTGCAAGTGGATTCTTTACCAGCTAAGCCACAAGGGAAGCGCAAGAATCCTGGAGTGGGTAGCCTATCCCTTCTCCAGTGGATCTTCCTGACCCAGGAATTGAACCAGGGTCTACCTGCATTGTAGGTGGGTTGCTTACCAGCTGAGCTATGAGGGAAGCTACTTAAGCCCTAAATCCTGGCTTCTGTTTCTCTACAAATGAGAAAGAGAAAGAAGACTAATAAATGATAACTCTCTACAGGGACTCTGGTGTGGAATGTTGAACAAGAGGCTTGACTGTTGATCTGATAATAGTTAGCAGGTTAGAGTCAAGGTTAAAATGTTTTATCAAAGGACCCAAATACAAAAATAAACTGATGTTTATTCTCTCTCAGTCCAAGATGTGTAATTGGTTCTCTCCTGGGAAATCATCCTAGACATGTGGGGTGTTGCTCCAGCCTGTTAAAATATATGGCTCCCAAATTTGTTCGAGGTGCAGTCTCTACAGTCAGCAGAAAGGAAGGGGATGAGTAAGCTCAGGTGAACATCTTTCAAACACGCAAAGTGGAAATTGCATGCTTCTCTTCTGCTTATCTTCCACTGGCACACAGCAGTTAGTCACATGGCAATTCTCAGCTAGAAGTGGAGGGAACTATATGCCCACGATGAAGGAGAGAAGTGAATTAGGGTGGGAAAAGCCAAACAAAATGCCCAACAGGAAATTGTGATATGAGAGATAATCAGAGAAAAAGACGGCTTTGACATATTTCATTATGCTTTAGTATGAATAAAAAAAGAATCAAAGATGATCAGAAAGATTTTTTACAATGGGAAAATAAAAGAATAATGATAATCACTGGGATTGTTTGAAAAAATTCACAAATTCTATTAATTTAATATTTAAAAATTCAGGTTGAATTGATAAAAGAAAATCTTGTGGTTAAGCACTGGAAATTTAGGGCAGGCAAGTGGAGAGCATAGACAATATAGAATTGGGGTCATCCATAGAGAACTGATATCTTGGGAATAAATGAAGGAGATAAGGGACTAACCATAGATTACAATAAGCAGAGGTTTGATTATAGAAAATTACATAATTAGGAATTTGGATTTTATATTTTTATGTATGTATGTATTTACTTATTTAATTTTATTTTATGGCCACACCTGTGTAGCATGTGGGATCTTATTTCCCCAACCAGGGATCAAACCCATGCTCTGTACATTGGGAGTATACAATCTCAACCACTGGACAGCCAGGGAAATCCCTAGATTTTTTAAAAATCAGACTTTATGAAATGAGAAAACAATCATTTCCAAAATACTGTTGAATGAGACAGATGTCAAAGAGGGAGAGAATTCTGAACTCTCAAAGTCAGCTGACTTGGTTAAGGAGGATGCTCATGGTAACTTCAAAACAATAGAGCTTTAGTCCATTTAGACCATTTTCTATTAATTGTGTATGTTTCACCACCTATGTCAGTCAAACTATTTTTTTTCCCTTCACTTATACTGAAGTAAAGAGCTTGTTGAATAACTTTGGACTCTGAAAGTTTTCTCTCTCTTTAAAGAGAATAGATAGAAAAGAATGTGGTTGGGAGTGATATGATCAGAAATTTTTTAAAATTCCCCCTTTTTAAACAGTAAGTCAATATGATCAGTTACAGAGTTATACTATTGACTGATGAAGGTTTGAAAGTTCTTTTTGCAGAATAATTTTTTTGTTGTTCAATTCTAAATTAGAAAAATAAAATATTGGTTTGGGGATGTGATAAAAATTTAGATTTTCTTTCTTTTGGTAGTTCTTTCTCAATAATAAATGAACCACTTCTAAAAGTAATGGCAAAGTTTGGAAAGCTTTTGTTCACAGAGGTTTGATAGTATAGAGATGAAGATGATTAATCACTCAGACCAGCCTGTTCTTTGTTTTCTTCATTTTAGGGAAAAAAATCACATGAAGACAGAGAAACCATTGTGGTAAGATCGTGAATCCTGTTGATATTTGAAAAGTGAGAAAAGAGATTATGGCATTTGATAGTTATTTTTTTCTTTGTTTCCAGAATGGACAAAAGCTCATGATCATACTAAACTATCGTTTAGATTTGTTGCTTTTACAGTTGAGACTAAGCCCCACCCGCTGCCTGTCCCATCCATCACTTGAGACTTCACTTCCATTGTGTGCATGTTTGTTAGAGGGCAGGGTGTTAGGCTACATATTTGTTTAACCTCTCTAAGAACTCTTCAAGGTATCTGTCCTGAAAGCTGCTAATTTATGGTCTAGCAGACTTATATTATATGCAGATAGTAACTAACTGTGAACTGAAAGAATGAGAAGTGTGATGCAAAGTAGCAAAATGAATGCTTCACCAATAGCAACCCCAAACTGTCCCCCGCCCTGCATCTTGTAGGGAGGCAGGGAGTTTTTTGCTGTTGTGTTTCAAAAGCTGGAACTGAATCGTGCCATATTTCCTGTTGCTGCTGAAACCACTCATAGAAGACATGCTGCCTATGTGCATTGTCATGCATCTTAATGTCAGTCTTTTGCTTTACATGACATAATTAAGTTGGTGGTTTTGTTTTAGTGTGGTAGAGATTTTTCGGTTGTGTTTAGTTTTGCTTTTACAGATGGTTAAGAGTCTGCCTGCCGTGTGGGAGACTCGAGTTTGATCCCTAGGTCCGGAAGAGCCCCTGCAGAAGGAAATGGCAACCCACTCCAGTATTCTTGCCTGGGAAAACCCCATGGACAGAGGAGCCTGGCAGGCTACAGTCGATGGGGTCACTAAGAATAGGACACAACTGGGTGACTTCACTTTACTTTAGTCCATTTGGGCTGCTATAATAAAATAGCAAAGACTAGGTAGTTAACAGAAATTTATTTCTCACAACTGTAGAAACTGGAAGTCTGAGATGAAAGGTGCAAAGTTTCAGACTTCTTTTATCCTCATATGGCATAGAGAGCTCTGTGGGATCTCTTCCATAACATCACTAATCCCATTCATGAGGGCCCCAACCTCACAAACTAATCACCTCCTCTTAAAAGTCCCATCTTCCAACACCATCACATTGGGTGTAAGAATTTCAACATGTGAGTTTTGAGGGGACAAACATTCAGACCACAACAAACAGTTCAAGTTAAAGAGAACACATCAAACCAGGTGTCTCAGCAACCAGCCAAGGAAACCCTAAGCCATGTTTGCACAGAATGGTAAGAGATGGTCCTGTGCTGATCTTTTCAGTTATAAGCCTCGCATACTAAAAAGGTTGTCAGTGAAAATGATTTGCTTACACAAGGGCACACAAGTTAGTGCAGTTCCTATGTAAATATTTGTAACGTGGTAGACATATTTTATTTTGTTATAGACAGAATTTTTTTCTGACTTAAATAAAGTCCTGGTATGGTATTTCTTTGGTTCATTTCCTGATTCCTTAATAAATGGTCTAACAGCAGAGATATTTTTTAATAGTACAAATGCTATAGGGAAGGAAAATTTACAGTAACTCACCTATTCATAAGTGTCACTTTTCATTAGTTAAATAATACTCTAATAACTGTTTTTAAGTTCCTTCTAAGTGCCAGAAGATTGAAACACACACCCACATACCCACCCACCCACCCACACACACACAAACACACACAATGAATAAATAAGACAAACGGTTAGGGAACCAAACCTGTGGCCAATTCTGAATTGTGTTTTGGGGGTTCAGAGTCTGGTAATAAATGGAACTGGGAAGTTTCAGAAAGGAAGTGAATTTGAGGTAATCCTTGAAGAATAATTAAGAGGGTTCCAGTCAGACAAAAGGGGCTTCCCCGTGGCTCAGTGGTAAAGAATCTGGTTGCAACATAGGCGACATATGAGATGCAGGTTCAATCCCTGGGTCAGGAAGGTCCCCTGGAAAAGGGAATGGCAACCTGCCCCAGTATCCTTCTGGTCTGGAGAATCCCACGGACAGAGGAGCCTAGTAGGCTCCGTCCATGGGATTGCAATAGAGTTGGACAAGACTCAGTGACTAGACAACAACAACACTTCATAACTAAATATATACCATTTCTTGTTGGGAAAATCCCATGGACAGAGGAACCTGGCAGGCTACAGTCCATAGAGTCAGAAAGAGTCATATACACCACTGAGCACAAAGACACATAGATAAAAACAGGTTAGAAGAGGAAGTTTTCAATACAAACGGAACACTGTTCCCAGGCTTTGGAGTGAAGTGCGTGAGGGCTTGAGTAGAGTGGCGAGAGATGACAGATAAGGCCGGAGAAGTAGACCCAGTAAAGATTGTGAGTGTTTGCTAACAATTTGCAAATAGTCATAGACTATAAATCAATTCAACTTGAAACTATTGTTTAACTATGCAGCATTTAGCAAAAATCTATTTAATTGCACTCTTCCTAGAAATTATACCCTAAGTGAATTATGTTACTTTTTCCATAACCCTTTAACCTGAGTAAGTTTTTTTTTTTTGGTTGTTTGTTTTTAATAAGTAACTTGAAAGTATGAGTTGTAGAAACATGCACCACAAATTAATCTTCAGAAGAACTTCCAGGGTTCTTCTTTTTGCTATTAATTTGTTTGACAAGGTAAGCATTAAGAAGGAAAGAAATTCAAACAACATCTTCAAATTAGTTGTTTAAAGTCAGTTTTAGAAATTAATTGATTACTAATGTATTTGATATTCTTTAGGAAAAGTATGAATAGTTTCATAATTACAAAAAAATTTTAAGTTTAATGTGAATTGCAACAAAATATGTTAGTTCGAACATTTTAAATAAAGAGTTTGAAAGTTTGTAAATCAGTAAAAAAAGGAAAACTGTTACTTGAGTATGGTCTTTAATAATGAAAATATCCAAAATTTAATTCTAAAAGTAGTAGTTTATTTTGAAAATCATTTTCTTTCTTGAACGAAGAGGTGATGTGTTTTTTTAATATCAAAAGTCTACTGATTTCTCACTCTGTATTATTAATTCTTAAGTTGACACAATACATTTTATTATTCAGTTGTTACCAGGAAACATGGTCTATTTTCTTTCAAAGGCTCAGTGATATTGTTTGCTTTTAGCTTAGTGTATATCAGACAGCTTCTACAATTAGCTTAACTACTTCCTCTTGGAATTTAACGCTTCATTTGTAAACTTTAAACAAACGAAAAATCAGTTATATACAATATATTTGCTTAACCAATAATAAGAAGTTTATGAATTTCTAAGTTAAATGTTATGATATAAGCTTAAAATTCAAATTTCATATTAAAACAATGTGTGTCACTGTCTATATTTTACAGTAAAACATATTCCAGAATATAATTTTTTAATTTCTCACCCTACACATCCATTTACTTAGAAAATTTTGATAGTCATTGCTAATTGATTTTTTTTCTATTTTAAAAGAAACTGGCGTCGCGGAAGGCAAACAATTTATTGGCTTTTCTTCCATACTTCCAGGCCCCGCAAATCACTATTCAGGAGTAAGGTTTTGTGGAATGTACAATTTATACACGAGCAACTCAACATTCACTAGATGCATATAAAAAATACAAGTAAGAGACAATTTAAAAGTCAGGCTACCTCTAATTGTGTAGCTGTAAGAAAGTGTTGTTTCTTTATTAAGTACTTTCCAAAATTAATGAAATATTAAAATCTACCTGGAATAAAATGTAAGTTCCGCACCGAGCTTCTGAGATGAAGCGTTCGTTCACGTTTGGAATAGAGATAGTTTGTCCTGCTGGGGCACCTGTAAGGCCCATCTTCCTTGGGATTGGCGGTTGCCGTGGTTACTCTTTGTTTGGAGGGCGGGCGCTGTTTTCCAACAGAGCTGGAGGATTCAGCCGCCGCTGGGTGAGCGAGCACCCCTCAAGACCCGGGTTGATGGAGCGGGAGGCGCCGCAAAACTGCGGGGGCGCAAGTGGAGCCGGGCCCCTCTCCGCCCGCCAAGGCCAGGCTTGAGGGCGAAGGGGGACCGCGCGCCCAGGGAGTGCTGAGCCAGTCTGTAAAGCGCGAGGCTCCTTTCAGTTTTGAAAAATTTTGGCAGTTCACTCAGAACTTGAAGAACTATAATTGAAGGGCGGGGGGGTTCCTTAATTTATCATTTTTGGCTGCTTTGTGTGCGTGCTCAGTCGTGTCCGACTCTCTGCGACCCCAGGGACTCTCAGCCTCCAGGCTCCTCTGTCCATGGGATGTCCCAGGCAAGAATATTGGAGTCGGTTGCCATTTCCTTCTCTAGGGGATCTTCCGGAGCCAGAGATGGAACCCGCATCTCCTATGTCTCCTGCATTGGCAGGCGGGTTCTTTGCCAGCTGAGCCACGAAGACTCCCCACTTAAGCCACTAAGACACCCCACTAAGCTCGCTTGGCACCTTTAGCCAACTCCAATTGATTTATTATCAACTTGAAGTAGTTTACCTAGCCTCTTTGCAGTGGGATCGATCCAAGGCTGCTGTATCCAGTTCTGTAACCACTGGCTAGAAGTGACCATTGAGAGCTTAAATGCAGCAAGTCCGAATTGAAATGTGCTGTAAATGTAGCCATTTCCTTCTCCAGGGGATCTTCCCAACCCAGGGATCGAACCCAGGTCTCCCGCACTGCAGGCAGACGCTTTACCGTCTGAGCCACCAGGGAAATCCCCCAAAATGTAAATCAGATTTTGAAGAATTATTAATGTGCAAAACAAAGTGTAAACTTTTTAGCTATGTAATACTTTTCTGTTGACTCTATGTTGAAATAATATTTTGGATATAATGGATTGAATTAATATTTATATATGTTTTAATATATAAAAAATTCAACTGTCTCTCTCTACATTAAAAAAAAATTGCCACTAGAAAATTTAAATCAAATATGTTGCTCAAATATGTAATTGGATAGGACTGATCTAAAGAGCCAGTAGATGAGCTGAGATGGGCATATGTTGGAAATGTCCCTTTCCTTTACCCTATTTTTCTGGCTTTTTTTCTACATAAAGTTTTGTGTATCTCTGCCTTCTGCCTTATAACCATTTTTAAAATCTAATTTTCCACCTAGCAAAGGTTTTCCTCCCTCTATTCATTCAAAGCTTTTGAATTGCATTTTAAGTAAGTTAGATTGTGGGGTAACATTTTGCACTGGTTCTGGTTTTGTTTTGGATGAAGGAGGTTATGAGTACAATTGGAAAATAAAAGCTGATTGGTACAGCATTGTTCAAACTTTCTTTTTACTTAGACCTACATTAAAACAAAAATTTGCATTGCATTTCATGTACACATGCATACATATACATGTACTTATAATTGAAGCAAAGTTTTTTAAACAATTTCTACTTTTAGTTTATATAGTACACTTATAGTTTCTTTTCTGACCTATCCTAGCTTTTCCTATCCTATCCCATCATTTAATCTAGATGACCAAAAACAGCTAAATTAATTTCTTAATCCATGAATGAATTATCATCTGCAGTTTGAAATCTACTGGTTGTTCGGAAAAATTGCTGGGCAGATAATGAGCTTGCCTAAGTTTGGATACCTTTGGATTGTGGGAAAAGCACTAACTTTGGATTCAGAGTCTCTGAATTAGGATCCTACTCCCATTATTTTTTAGCAGAATGCTATGGGGAATTAACTAACCTCTTCCAACCTTAGGTTTCTCATCTATACAATGACTGTAATGACCTTTAATCTGTGAAGTTAGTCCAGAGATTATCAACCACACAAGTGTCTACTAGTGCCTGGCTTGTCACAAGTACTTAATATACATGGACGCTAATGACAGTAGTTAACAATGATGATGTGAAGATATTCTGCAATATACTGCTTGACCCATATCCATTACAAGCCTAAAGATTTAAATGAATGTTGAATTTATACATCATATATTATTCATTATTTCCTTGTTGTGGCTATCCGGTAGAATTGGCAACTATGATTTAATGAGTGCAAATTAGCCAAATATGTCCCCATATATAGACCTAGGATGTTCTAAGTATTTTTATCTCTGAATACTCAAGCTTTTCACAGTTATTTTGCCATTACTTATTACCATGAAAATGAGTTTAGTGTGAAGTTTCTTGATAAAGGAAGGTAAGCCAAACCCATTCCACATAACTTTTCCTTTAGTAAATTTAAAGAGAATTATCATTAGATTTGATCATTTTGTACTCAAACACTAAAGAAATAATGGATGAAATAGGGAGAAAGCAATTATCTTTAATATATAGTATAGGCATAATAAGGTGTGATAAAACTTTGTTAAACTAAAGCATTTTTACATAGAACATGTTGGATTGGTGTGGCATATTAAAGAACCTATAGTTTTTACTAGCATTTAGCCTCTTCAGTTTTCTCTAAATGGTTCTATGTTTTATTATGAAGGATGATGGAAGGCAATGATGATGATGATATAAAGCTCAGAGAAGAAATAGAGGCTGAATTGGATAAAATCAGCATTTCTTCCTTGGAAAAATATGATTTTGATAGTGATTCAAAATCAGAAACCCAGAGTGATAATAGTGATACAGTAAGTTTTGTGTTGTACTTTTGAGACTTTTAACTGAAGTAAGCTTTGTTAGGAGAAATACTACTTTTCTCTGTGTTTTGTATACTCCTCTCAATTTTTTCCCCTTAGGGTGACCTTTAAACAATACATATTAGTAGATATTTAAATATAAAAACTATATTGAGAAATTACCTATAATTTCATGTGTGTACATGTGCATTTTTTCACAAAATTGAGATTTTACTATTCATATAATTATGCATATGTATATACACATATATGTTGTTTAGCTATAAGTCATGTCCAACTATTTTGTGATGCCATAGACTGCAGACTATTCTTTCCATGGGATTTCCCAGGCAAAAATACTGGAGTGGGTTGCCATTTCCCTCTCCAGGGGATCTTCCCAACTCAGGGATTGAACCCATGTCTCCTGCATTGGCAGGTGGATTCTTTACCACCCAGCAAGGGAAAGTGGAAGTGAAAGTCACACAGTCATGTCAGACTCTTTGTGACTCCATGGACTGTACAATCCATGAAATTCTCCAGGCCAGAGTACTGGAGTGGGTAGCCATTCCCTTCTCCAGGGGATCTTTGCAACCCAGGGATCGAACCCAGGTCTTCTGCACTCCAGGCAGATTCTCTACCAGCTGAGCCTGGGAAGACACACATATATATTAGTATCCTGCTTTTTTTTACTTAATCATGAGTATATTGTTATATGTTTAGATATGCATAAAAATCAAAATGTAGGTGAAATCTTTCGACCAAAGAAATAGTTACATTCATTTTTTGAAAATGAATGTATATTCATTTGTGTATTTCCTCCAATGTTTATATACCTAGAAAATTTATTCATGGATTCATTCTTTTATATCAAAATTCTTAATCCAATGGAAACTTATGTTCAGCTATATTATAAAAAGTAAGTCTAATTAAAATTTCCCTGCAATATTTAGCAAATATCCCTGGTGTCACTTGTGCAATAATCCACCTTTTCTCAATTGACTTGTCATATCTGCTATATATACTTAGTTGTTATATACATATCTATCCAGAGTTATCTATTCTTTTCCATTATTCTGTTAATTTTTGCCCTATTTTGGTTTTATATTTTTAAATATAAAATGGGCCAAATTTCTTCAGTAGCTTTGTTGCATCAAATCTTTTCAACTAAGCTTTTTTTCCCAAGAAAACACATTTGTCAAGTTTCTTGAAATAATTATACTTTGATTTTTAATTAGGATTGCAATAACCTACATAATACTTCAGGAAAAAATAATATTTTATTATGTCTTTTTATCCATAGCTAGCTTAAGTAGACTGAAGTTCTGAAATTATTCATTTGGGGATTAGTTCCAACAGAATCATGGATGCAATTTATAGCCATCTGAAAATGAAAAGCAAATTTTAACCAAATGTGTTTGTTTGGACTACGCTTTTTATATGAAGCTCTTTTACCTCATTCACCATTTTTCAAAATTTTGGCATTTCAAAACAAATTTTGATGCATAGTTTTAGTAAATAATTTTACAGTTCCTTTTATTCTTCACATTTTTAGGATTCAGATGAGCTTCCTGAGTCGGTTCTTCACTGTATTAACATCATAAAGAATAAGAGTAAAACTGCTGAAGAGCTCATTCTTCAGGACTTGGAGGATACTGATGTTTTAAGTAAGTACAGTTTTCATCTGCTTGGTAGATAAGTTTTCTGTAAGTATGAATAATTTATAATTTAGAAAATTAAACTGCTTGAAGTTATTTCTTCTCATATACAGGTGTGTGCATTTATCTCTAATAAAATCTCTATATTATATTGGTCTGTTCAAGTTAGTTCACACATCTGTTTTAATTACTACCTTCCTTATATCTCCAATAAATACTAGTCACTAATAATTTGTTTTACTAGTCCTGATTAAAGCCAGACATTCTGTTACTTTATGTCAAAGGAACCCAAGCGTGGGACTGTTTTAGAATTATCAGTTTATATGTATTTTTGGAGAAAAATATAATTTATATAAAAGCCTCACAACCTTTATTTGCCTCAACTGAGCAAATTTACATCTTGCAATTATTGTAAGAATAATAGAATGAACAAAGATTTAACCAGAAGTGTAATCCTAGCTTAGATTATAATGAAAAATGGCAACAATTAAAATGTTCAAATGTGTCTAACAATATACTCTTTTAAAAAAATGAAGGACAATTTTAATAACATAAGTTTTATGGTATACTATAAAAGTTATTATGAAATTCAGTGTCATTTATGCTTATATTGGTAT